AGCGGCGGATTTGGCTCAGAAGAGGGAGGCGGCGGCTAGGTTTGGCTCTGATACCATATTGTAAGATTAGGGTTTTAAGATATTTCTTCATTGATAGAATGGCTTGGCTTATATAGCCTCACACTCACATTTACATAAAACCCCTCTAATATTCCTTAGTTACATTATCTTTTCAACAGATATAAATGGCTCTCTAGTCAATAATATCCTCGAGAATGAGTTACAATATGAAATCATTCTTTCCTCTACATTATCAGTACACTCAAATGAAGCAATAGAGAGCTCCTTTTCTATAGCACAAAAATTACAATAAGTAAAACTGCATGCTCAAGTTCCAAACCTATTGGTCACGTTATATGTTCAAACTTCGAAGTGAGCTTTGGTGGAGAAAATCAGGCTACCTCAAGGCTATAAACGCCTCAAGCTTTGCTGAAGTAAAATCAGGCTGCATGAAAGCCATTAAATTCCTCAACATGCAAGTAGGTGGCCTGATAACTCGCTCAAGACATGAAACCAACCTTCCTTTTGTCATAAATAAATCAAGAAACTGTTAGTTCCAAGTTGAAGATATTAGGAAATGGAGGAGATGGATGCTAAGTCGAGGGATTTTCTTTGTTTCAAGCTTCATTTATGAGACAGACGTTGGTCATCGCCTTTTTTTGATCATCTACTCAGATTTAAACTAGGATTTGACAGGCAGGAGTAAATGGAATAATGAAAAAACAGAGTTCATTATCAAACATCTAAACTTAAAGAGTTCTAACTAGGTTTGGCTGTAACCAAGTTGAAGTACTGTTACAAATATGTCGCAATCAAATCAGATTTAAGCATCCTGCTATGAGCCAATTGAAACTGACCGACACCATCTATATTGGATATTAACGATTAGTACAGGTTGATATTGGATAATACCAGTAATGCATGAGAAAATATGATGTTTGAAATATCATAAGTTGTTTTATAGAAATAAAAAGAGAAGTCAATTAAGTAATATTTGTGATAAACTCCAACTTTTTTCTTGTATATGTACGATTTGAAACAATGAAACTCCCTGTACTCATACCAGTAGAAGCGAATCCAGAACACAATCAACATTCCACGATTTTAAACCTTGATCGTAATTTGAATCAGGGATATTTAATATTTTGATTTGAGATTGAAACACATGATGATTTTGTGTAGGTTTAGGCACCATGAAATGTGGATAAGCTTCAAAAATGAGGAGCCAAAATACATAATTGACCTTATGTGTTTTCTTCTCAATTTCCTTTTTTCTTGGCTTAAGTGCCCCCGGTTTAGTTGCTTTCAGTAAAGGAACACCTTACAAGTTTTATGTCTGTATAGTTTCTTGTAGAAGCCTTCAATACTTTGATTCAGTTTATTTAGATAGCTACCTGCGTTTAGGAGTAATTTATTATTAGTTTCTGTTCACAGTTCATACTATAATCGGACCCTTGAAGCATCTAACACACTGCACATGGTAGTGTTAAAACATCTTATTTAGCTTTTGAATGGTGCAAAAAGTTTACCACCCAACTAATTTCTGGATCAGCTAAAAGGAGCTGGCTTGAATTCATCTTTGATGTTTCTTCTTCGTGAATGATTTTAAAGTTTTTACTGTGTAATCTTATCACAGCCGTGCAAAAACTGTGAATGAGAACCTGAAAATGAGTGCTGCGCTGTTATCACGTTTTGACTTGGTTTTTATATTACTTGATAAACCGGATGAAGTTCTGGACAAGCGCGTATCTGACCATATAATGGCAGTAAGTCACGATTCCTAATCATAACCCTGAACGGATTAGCTCACGTTCTTGTATGTGATATTTTTGTTATTTCAATTTAAGATATATAGTGTATATATGGCTTACAATTTTGGCCTGCGTTTATGTGTGTATGTGTATTCCAGCTTCACACGGGAAATGGAGATCATTTGTTACCTAACAAGAAGCTGCGCAGAGGTGCTTTTTTATCTCTCTGTTCTAGATTGGATAGAGTCTCTTTTCCTGTTATGAAATATTATTGGTTTTGGCAGCTTTTGACTGTAATGGAGATAATGATTTTGGAGTGAAGAAGGGTTCTTTGGTTTCACAGCTGAGACTGGACCCACAGAAGGACAAGGACTTTGTTCCATTACCTGGCCCTCTTCTTCGCAAGTATATTGCATATGCAAGAAATTTCATCTTCCCCAAGTGAGGAAATTACCATAAATTTCTGTTTCTTAAAAAAAAAGATTGGATGTACATTGAATCTTTTGTTGCATTAGGATGTCTAGACCAGCAGCTGAGATCTTACAGAAGTTTTATTTGCGGTTAAGAGACCATAATACGTCAGCTGATGGCACGCCTATTACTGCAAGACAGTTAGAAAGCCTAGTACGGTTAGCTGAAGCCCGTGCTCGTGTGGATCTCAGAGAAGAAATAACTGCCCAAGATGCTATGGTCAGTGAACTTTCTTACTATATAGTTACACGGGATAGACAAAATACTACATCTTTTTGTCATATAATTTACATCCTTATCCTGCAAAAGGGGAAAAAAGAGGAAAAAAAAGTATGGTCAAATCGAAATTCCACAATTGCTTATTATACATCCAAACTGGCTCTCCAGTTTACATTTTATGTTTCCGTCATTATCATGCACATTATCTCACGGTAAAAGGACCTAGTCTGTGACTATCTCCATTTCTATAAGTTAGAGACGACATTGAAGATATCAAAGCCATCGAGTTCCTGATGCCCCATATTGAAGGTGCGTAAACACAAACTTTTAAATGCTTTTGAGGTCATAAAACCATGCATCTTGGTTATAAACCTCAATTTTTCTATGACCACGCAAACATATTTAAGAAACCTGTATACTATTTGGCAGTTGTTTTAGTCATTCCGAATATGTTATACACTTATACAGACCATGGTCAGTAACATGCATTCTTAATTGGTATCACATGTTATGTGACTACTCTCAGGTTACTATTGGCTGACTAGGCTAGGCTCTGATCAAATTAGCAATGTCGAAGTCACAACTGAGACCCTTTTCTAATGCTATATATATATAGCAAAACCTGTGTCAACTTAAGCGGATAGCAAAAAGTTGTCCACCAAATTTTTTAGGCACTCATTGCCTAGGGATCCTTGCATGATATGAAAATGTTTTTTATATTAATAAATGAGTGGCTAGGAAGTTTGGTGGACATCAACTTAAATCTTCATCTGATTCCCTGCTGCAGAGAGCACACTTACAACTGATTTAGGATTGTTTGATTTTCCTTGAAAGACAACTAAAGGTTGATTAGTGATAAGTTGATCAATTGTTTGTATTTTGAATGTCAGGTCCAAGGCTTTTGAACCAAACCCATTGGCAAAGTTTTCATGCATATATAGCATAAAAATTAACAACATAAATTCATATTATAAATTTGCTGGCCTTCCCTAATATGCAATTTTTCTGATGTGCAGGATGTGGTTGAGATAATGAAAGAGTCATTGTATGACAAATATGTAGATGAGCACGGTTTTGTAGACTTTGCCAGGAGCGGAGGCATGAGCCAACAGAAGGAAGCAAAAAGATTTTTAAGTGCTCTCAATAAACAATCTGAGTTGCAGCAGAAAGATTGCTTCTCAATTTCTGTAAGTATATTTCATCCCTCTTTTTCCTAATCATAGTCCTCCTACCCCTATTTTCTCCCTACGATAATGTTTCTACCTCCTGATCCTCCTGTTAGAATATAAAAATATAGCCGTCTATTCTCACCATAACATTGGAGGTGTGATGTAATCATGTAATGGTTAGACTTTAAGATGGTAACAGAGCAACCCAGGTTCAAATCCCACCAACCATGAACTTAAAGCAGATTCTAAAGTTGACACTGCTGCGTGAGTCCAGGGCCCATAAAAAGAGCGCTCAATCTACGAGGACATGTTAAAATATAAAAATATAGCCCTCAACACTCACCATGACTTCAGAGTTATGGTGTAATGTTCAGAGACTTTAAGACCTCCAATGTTCATACTGCATTATATCATGGTCCAATTTAAAGAAACTAATATCTACTTGTTTCCCTAGAAATGTCTTAGCTATTTCATATGCAAATTCTGTTAGTCGATTGCATGATGGTTCCGTCATTCTTATGACCTTCAATGTTCATATTGGAGTTGTGGTGTAATGGTTAGAGACTTTAAGACCTCCAATGTTTATATTGCATTATATCATGGTCCAATTTAAAGAAACTAATATATACTTGTTTCTCCAGAAATGTCTTAGCTATTTCATGTGCAAATTCTATTAGTCTGATTGCATGAGGGTTCCGTCATTCTTATGTCAGACATATTCCAACTTCAAAGCATATCATGTTATTGTCTTTCAGGAGATTTACAGTTTGGCAGATAGGATCAGCTTGAGAGTTCCTGACATGGACACATTCGTGGAGAACTTGAACAGTGTTGGCTATCTACTTAAGAAAGGCCCAAAAATGTATCAGGTATTTCTTAAGTTTTTATATTGACCCTGATGCTTCCACTTGGGTAAATTTCACAAAACTCCAAGAACTTTGGACGGTGTTGCACAAAAATACCACAAACTTTTTGAATTAGAGAAACCTACCATGACGTCTCATAACTACAGAAAATACCATGGACATTTAGAAATTTTGTTGCTAATGGTGTTGATGGCTTGAACTAAAGGTCTAAACTCCTTGCATACATGTATTAACCAACAAAATTCAGAATGATAATATAGAAAATATAGAGCATATTAGTGCAAAATTGACCAAACTATGCTGCGTGCTCCTAAACATGACATTGTACACTGACTAACATAGACATGGTAGATTAGTGAAAAAAGTTCATCCTTAGATTTCTTCTTTAGATTTACCCTCTTTATATAAACAGGAACGTAAAAAATTTCGCAGGTTTTAGTATTGTCTGATGTTATTTCTAGAAAGCTGTTAGCTCCTGATTGTTTCATATTTGAATTGATGTATGTTCCTTGCAGGTCTTGTCATCCTCCTATTCTCGTAGTCAACCAACAAGGTCTAGGTGTTAACAATTGTATGACAAAGAGGCAACTATCAGTAAACTAATGGCTTCCCGCCGTTATCTTCTGATATTTCGGTGCATTGATACTTGTATGATTATGATTATGGTTCATCAATTAAATGATGGATAACAATGTGATTCTACTTCTATGAAATATAAAGATGCCAATGTACGTGCTTTGTGCAGGCGAAATGACATCTCATTTTTGTAGGTATTCCTATAGAATTGTACTGTATCCCGGGGTAAATATCTCTTTGATCTTTGAGGTGTGTATAACTATATCAATTTAGCAAAGGCAGGGCATATAAGCATATAAATTTATGTTTCCTACAAAAACTAGTTGTTACTGGAACACAACATTCTAACCCTGATGATGCATGTAACGAACATTTCCCTCTACAACATTCCAAAAAGCTAAAAAAGCAACAAAGATTCTGGTGAAATGAAGTTTCTTGACTGATAACAGATAATCCTGGAACTTGAAATGAGTGATGTAAGAGATGAGTTAAAATTTGTTAAAATGATGTATTGCTGTATGGTATGATCATTTGATAAATCAAGCTTACAGATGGATGAAGACTTGAATGCTGAATTAATCTTACTGTATCAGATGCTAAGGCGTGCAGGATCACTATATTCTTTAGATATCAAGATTTTCTTTCGCATGTCATGAGGCTTACATTTGGAGAATGCAGAATTCACAGCTTCTACTGGATCACTGCGGGTACAATTTAGAGCCCTCGCGGTTTGCGTTACAATTTTTTCACGGTTCCGTCTGAACAAATCGCTCAACAAATGTGCCACCGGAAAATCTCACGTTTTCTGGAAGCATCAGTTTCTGACTAGCTATCTCCAACATCATCTTCATACATAGTCTCAATCCTCCACTCACTCCCATAGTAGGAATTCGGCAACCCTAACCAGAACTTGAACGCCTCGGCCGCCCTCTTCTTCTCCCTCCTCCTCTCCTGCCTTGCCCTCGATGCATGCTTACTCGTGAACATCCTCGAATGCATCTCCACATATATCCTCTTATACTTTGTTTTATTCGGCGATATCCCGTTCTCCTCCATACAAGCCACGATTTCAAGCGCCTTCTTAAAGAAGGCCGCCCTCACGCAAACATCTGCCAGCGCATCGAGCAAACCCTCGTCGGGCCTCAACGTTGGAGGTGACATCTCACACCTTTCCTTCACTTCATTCCATAACACAAGCGCCTCCCCGGGCCTTCTCGCCACGGCGATCCCGTTGGCGAGGCTTCCGTAGGTTGCGACATCGGGCTCAAACCCGCTCTCCTTCATTCTCTCTATGATTTTCTTTGCTTCCTCGATGAGCCCTAATCGACAATAACCCTCGACCAACATGTTCCATGCTACTCTATCGACCTTCACCCTCGGGTCCTTTGTCATTTCGTCGAACACCTTGCTGGCCAGCTTTGGTTGACCCGAGAGGGCGAAAGCCTTCATGAGAGTCGTGTAGCTGACCTTCGATGGTGCAATCCCTCGTTCCCTCATCTCGTTGAAGTACTTGAGCGCTCCGGCGCTATCGTCCATCAGTATGCAACCGTCGATCAATATGTTGTAAGATACAACGTTAGGCTCGAAGTCTCGAATAAGCTCCTTCGCCTTGTCGAGCTGTAGTTGCTGACAATAACCCTTGAGAAGCACATTGTAGGTGACCCGATTAGGCGAAACGCCCGTGTCGATCATCTCCGCAAGGATGGCGTGTGCACGGTCCATGGCTCCGGCGTTCACCAACGCAGAGACGACGGTCGTGTAAGTAACAATATCGGGGTGGCTTGACGGATCTGGCTCATTCTGCATCGCTCGTATCATGCGCACGACGTCGTCCACGCGCCCTTCCTTCATGTACCCCTTCATCAGTATCGTGTACGTTCGGGTATTCGGCACGTATCTCTTCGGCAGGAGCGGCGGCGGCTCGTCCGGTTTCGGATCGCACCAAGCTTTCTCAATGGCATCACCGATGTCCGTGTACCGACAATGAATCTCGGAGCAACTAGCGGCGGCATAGGTCGAGCCGTCCGCTGCCCGCAGTCGCGCCCTCACCATTTTCTCGGCCTGCCCCATCTCGGCCAAGCGCCCACACGGTACGCGCAACGAGCGAGTGCAGTCGTCGTCAGCGCACAGGCATCATCCTCCGACCGCAGGCATCCTCTCCAGCGCAAACACAGCAGATCCGCCTGCGCTCCGCCCGCGCGCACATCTTGATCACGTACGTTGCTACGTGAGCACGTCCGGCGCCGCGGCCGAACCCCGCCATCTCGCCGAACAGCTCGCGGGACGAAAGCCTGTCGATACGCCGCCCGAGTTCGCGCACACTGCTGAGCGGCGGCGCGTTGGAACGCGGCCGTGTCGGGGCCGCGACTGCCCACCGAGCGGACCGGGCTGGGAGGCGCGCGGCAGCCGGCGGCTACGGCGTCAAGAGCGCGCAGAAGTGGCGTCGTCGTTCGTTGCCGGCGTTGGAGAGGCGCTGAGGACGGAGGAGCCAGGCCTTTGACGTGGGGGAGAGCCGGGAGCGAGCATGGACGAGGATGAGGGAAGAGCGCGAAGGGGAGGTGGGGCGGCGAGCGGGAGGCGGAGCAGGGCGAGGAGGCCGAGGGAGTTGGAGTCGAGGAGGTGGAGGACGGGACCGCGGCGCGATTAGCGGCGGGAGGAGGGGAGAGGAGCGGGAGAGGGAGGAGCGGGGAGGGTCGTAGATGAGCTGGCGAGGAGGCGGGGAGAGGGGCGGTGCGCCGTGAGGGTGGGGACCCGGGTGGTAGAGCTGGCGTAAGGCTTCTTTCGGTTCTGCGCTGGCGGATTGGAGGGGAGAGCGAGCTGGGGCGTCTAGCAGGGGCTGTGGCCCTAATGAAGAGACTGGGGACCGTCGGGCTGGCGGGGGAGGAGGATGAGGAGTGGGGCGGGGGAGGAGGGAGAGCGGGCCCCTGCTGGGGCTTGGGGATGTTTGGCATTTTTGTTTTGGCGCTGTTGGGGGGGAGGGGGAGAGGGAGATGGGCCGTAATAATTTTGAAGGCGTTGGAGAAGGGGAGGGACGGGAGAGGAGGATAGGGGAGGGGGAAGAGAAGGGTGGGGGCCTTCTGTTTGGTTGGTTTTACGTTGGGCCACATAGTGGGGTGGCAATCCATTTGATAGAGATTAGATATTTTTCTTCCCCCTACTCTTTTGTGTCTCTATATGAGATGAATGTTAAAAATTTCAGGCTAAAATATCAGAAGCAGATGACCTCCCATAGCTTTTCTTTAAGGGGTTGTTTGTTTCGCTAAAAAAACAAAGAAATTAATTATAAAAAAATTATTTTCTATAATAGGTTTTTTTTTTTTAATGTTTGGTTTACTTTTTAAAACTAAGAAAATAAATAAGATGAGATGAATTGTCACCGTATTATTATTAGATGGTGTAATTTATTTTTAAATAAAATCATTTTATGAATTTTTTTGTGTGTGGAAATTGATTAAAATTAACTTTTAATGGTTTCCTTGTTCTATTTTCTTTTCTTTGATTTTAGGAAATCAACCAAACATGCCCTAAATTAAGTGTTTTCAGAAAATCCCTTTCAAATTTAAGATTTTATCAGAAAATTCTCCCGTCGATGTTAATCGTACTTTTTACTGGACAAAATATTCCTCTGCATAATTTTACTCACCAATCCAAAAAATGGCGGCTTTTGATATTAACTTGTTAGAGAGATTTTTTTTATTAAAATTTCAAAATTAAAGAGGATTTCTTTCATAACCCTTAACTTAAAGAGGGTTTTTGTGATATTTAGCCTCAATTTTATTAGTATAACCCTCAAAGATGTAATCAGTTCAAAAAAAAAATTTAACTTAATTGCCAATTCGCGACGTATGCAGAGATTTTTGTGTAATCCAAGGCGTGGACTCACATTCCAGAGCTTGGTCCAGGACCGATTTGTACAAAGGATTTTGATTCTCTTTTCTGTTGCAATATTATCCTCAAACGTGGCGTGGTTCAATTTCAAATTGAGACCAGATGATTGACATATCCGGGCTTCTTTTTTGCTTTTATATCCCCAAACCTATTATATTTGTAAAATTTACCCCTAATTCTGCATTCATGCTAATTTAGCCGTATAAATTTTAACTATGTCAAACGGAAGGGGTATAAAATTATAGGGTTTAAAAAAACCACCTTTAACATAAGGTCAAATCTATAAAAACCACATTTTGATTTTCAATTTATATAGAACCACTGTTTAAGCATTTTTCTTTGTAATTAACCACTTAGACTTACTTTTAATTAATTTTTTTCGATTTTCTTGTAGTAGTCAGCTGTTAAACGCCAAATATATTAGAAAGGTGATCCTTAATGAAAGGTTAATTGTAACAAAAGTTTCTTTAAAATCGAAAATAGTTTCTGGCCCTATTTTAAAGACGACTTCTATGAGGAAAAAAAAACTCAAGATTATAATACGGGAGAACCGTATGAATGAATTAGCAAAAAATACAGATTTTTGGAGTAAATCTGCAAATAAGATAAATTAGGGGTTAGTAGACCGTGTAAATCTGACCGTCGGTTTCTAACCCGAGTTTTTATTTTGGATCGGTCCCATCACCGCTCGCTTCTCCTTCGCCCGCCAACGCAATAAAACCCTAAACCCTAACCCTAACTCTCTCGTCTCATCCTCTCTCTCCTCAGCTTCGGTGATGAAGTACCAAAATCGAAAGAAACCTAACAAATCAAAGAGAAACCCCAAGTTCTCCAACGGCGATCCCTCCTTCGAGCCTGATCTGAAGCGACAACGTCATCGGCGGCGAGAAAGCAACGACGAGGACCTCGAGAGCCTGCCAAGCGACGAAGAAGATCAAGTTGAGGGTGGAGATCAGGAGAAGGAGGAGGAGAACGTTGAGACTGCAGCTGAGGTTAAGTATCGGATTGCGAGCGAGTATTTGGAGAAGATCCGAGCAGCGGCTAAGAAAGCGGCGGAGGAGGAGGATGAAGGGGATGATAGAGAGGAGGTTGAGGGGAGGAGGGATTCTTTGGTTGCTGAGATTTTGGAGAAGAGTCAGTTGGAGGAGAGCGGTCGAGCTCGGCGATTGCTGGCTTCGAGGTAATTTGACAGATTCAATCTTGACTTGATTCCAAAAAGAGGATTTTTTACTGAATAACGTTCTTTTTTTTTTGTTAAAAATGTTCGAATGATCCTTTGCTTCTTGCTCGAAATATTGTAGATAGTATAGCAAAGGAGTTCAAAGATTACTCCGAATTGATAAATCTGTGGCTGTCTCCTCCTATTCTTAGATGGATAATTTATATTGCAAAATGTTCTTTTTGTTGATAATGTTTGAATGAGCTCTTGCTTCTTGCTTGCAATGTTTGTATACAATAGCAAAACAGTGACTTATTAGCTGCTTTGAGCATAACTACTCGAAATTTTACCCTGAAATAATGACAGCTGATAGTTAATAGTGTCTTAACATTAGGCTAGTTAGTGTAGCATCTTGACTTTCCTAGTAATTTGGTGTTTGATATGAATTCTCTAAAAGCTCCTGATATTGCAGAGTTCTAAAACCTGAACCTGTAGATGAGTTCCGTGTCCTTGTGAAGCACCGGATGTCTGTTACTTCAGTTGCATTGTCTGAAGATGATAGTAGGGGTTTCTCAGCTTCAAAGGATGGAACCATTATGCACTGGGACGTAGAAAGCGGTAAAACTGAGAAATATTTGTGGCCCAGTGAGGATGTATTGATGTCACATCATGCAAAAGCTCCTCAGAAACCGTCAGCAAAGAGAAGTAAGCATGTGTTGGCATTGGCTGTCAGCTCCGATGGTCGATATCTGGCTAGTGGCGGGTTAGATCGTCATGTCCACTTATGGGATACACGCACGAGGGAACATATTCAGGTTGTTTTACTATTATAATCGTTATTTTTTTAAACAACTGAATAACCATTCTTGAGATTTAGAGAACAGCACAATTTGATTTTCGTATACTGCAAGATGATGCCTCATGCATCTGTCATGTCCAAAGCAGTAATCCTACATTAATACAAAGCAAATAATATTTTCAGTCAGCAAAATATATTCTTTTCCTACTATGTGTAAAGCCCCCATGTTTTCCTGTAAAAGGTTGTTGTCTATTTAGCATGCTTCCCATGTACTGCTTGTGCAGCTTTCTTTTTAGTGAAGTATATAGAATTGAACACCAATTTCATGTATGATATGCTTATGATTGTATGACTACCTTCCTTGTACCTCATCTCAAGTTACTGCTAAACAGGCATTTCACGGTCACAAGGGACCTGTCTCTTGTCTGACTTTTAGGCAAGGAACTTCGCAACTCTTTTCTGGCTCCTTTGATCGGCAAATTAAGTTGTGGAATGCTGAAGACAGAGCTCATATGGACACTCTACATGGTCATCAAAGTGAAATAGTATCTATTGATTGTCTGCACAAAGAAAGGATTTTGACGGCAGGGCGTGACCGGACTATCCAACTATGGAAGGTAAGAATTAAATATGTTCATTGCTTGTTACTAAAACATCCTCCCATAGATTGCCTAGATCAAACTTAAAGATATCAGTTGCACACCCCAACTCTTAGAATAAAACCGTCTGAAGACATTTCCTTGGCTCTTCTATAGTTTTCTCTCATATATCCTCTTGAACCTGTGCTTGCACAGAGTTTCTCTTCTAATGTTAGCTAGACAAAGGGGGTAGCCAAGGGAAATCCAGAAGCTTAGGTGCCAAGTAGGTGGATAGATGGATGAGCACCTATCTGCAGCTTTTTATTTGAGATAAATTGTTCTGCAGCTGTTTACTTGAGATGAATGACACTGTAAGAGTACTGTCAGCAGATTATCATAAAAGACCACAGGGGTTGGGGATGAGAAGGGTGTGGCATGGGTGCTGTAATAGTCAGCAGATGAGTGGGAAAAAAAGGAATAATGTAGACTAGGTGCGCTACTTTAGAGGCGCACTTTTTTTATTTTAACAATGGAACTAACATACTAGCATAAATAGTCTACACTTTTTCTTTGATCTAAATTTTGGCAGTTCAAATACAAGGTTTAGAAAAATAGGGCCAACAAGTTTTTGTGAGTGGCTGAATCTCTCCCGCTTACGTGAAATTTCTTAAGCATCTTATGATAAGGTCCTGGATCAACTATTACATATAATTAAATCTGAGACAAATGGATGTTGAGATTGTGGTGAAAATCCCAAACGAGATAATTACGATATTCTTACATACTTTTGACTATTATTATTGTTGTTGTTATTGCTACTATCTTTTTTGGTACTTTCGACTCGGAAGAACTTTACTTAATGAATATTGGGTCTACCTTATTTTGCAACGTACTTAGCAGAGCTGTCATGTTCGTGAAGCGGCTCTCATGTCAGACATCCTGATATGGATACCCGGACACTGATTTCTTGGGCACCTCTAGGATGTGTGTAGGGCATTACCTAAATGTCTTCTCAATTATATACTCATGCTTTAATTTAGGGTTATGCTGTAGTTTCTTGGACATGTATTCTACAATTCATACATTGATTTGTTAAATTACATGTTTGAGATATCTACTTACATTAATTTATATATGAAATACTATAGTTGGTGGAAAAGACCATCGTAATACCAACTTATATAAATTGCCAATACGTTTAAGTATGTCCTAAGTATTTTGTAAGACTTTAATGAGTCAAGACCTATTTATTTTGTGAAGCTGAAAAGTTAATGGTAGGTGAAAATGTTAATGTACATGTAATCATTGTATGTTCATTGTTCTATACAATTGGAAATACTTGTCTAGACTCTTGGATTGATGAACATGTCTATGTATGTATGTATTAACTTGTTTTATTATAAAATATCCTTGGGCCTGGTCATCTTGACATGTCCCTATGTTGTGTCATTTTTTAAGGAATTGTTGCGTCCCATTTCAATGTTCATATTGTACTTGTCTCACATCCGTTTTGATGCTGGTACTCTACCTCTACTTTCCTAAAGATTTAGTATTTCATTTTTTGGGGTCAGTTGGAGGGATTTCTTGTGGATTTGTTTTTCAACTTTGACAAAATTAAGAGTTCTTTTATTTTCCAGCATAATGATAGCACAGAAGCTCAAATGGATTTTTAAGCCAAGATTAAAAGAGAAGGAATATTCTTCAGGAGGATCTGATGAAAACTATGATCAGTTCATCAATTATGTTGGTTTGATTGTAGTATGAATAAGCTTGTTTTTATTACTTTCACATCTTCTTTTCCTCTTTTCCATTAATAATAACATTCTTTCTGGTAAAAGAAAAGCTCTGTTTTTTCTTGTTTCTGTGTGATGGAAGTTATGGCTCCTGAGCATTTTCTAATTGACACAAAGGAAAGCTAACGCATTCCAGGTGCAAACATTTAGACAAGGTTTTTGTACTGTATGCTTAGGTACGATTCTATTACAGTATTATACTATTATGTATATTTTTGTTCCCCAAAAATATGGCATAAAGGCTATGTTGTGTATATGTGTCTATCTTTAATTCTTTGTTAGGATGGTTTGCTGACCACACAGGACCAATGTTGGTTCATCATTTACACTAATGCTCCTTTTTGTTAAATCTGCAGTCTAGTTTTATTATGACTAAAGAATCTAGAAACTTTTTCATCTTCATGTCTGTTCCCAACAAATGAAAAGCAATGCTGCTATCTATTAAGGCAATAACGTTTTTTGTTTGTTTGTTGTAGGTTGCTGATGAGAAAAGATTACTCTACAGATCTCCATCATCTGTTGAATGCAGCTGTTTCATTAATGACAACGAATTCTTATCTGGTTCAGAGGATGGGAGTATTGAGCTTTGGAGTGTTTTAAGGAAGAAGCCAACACATATTCTGAGAAATGCTCATGCTCCTCCATTATGTGATCAATCATCTAAAGTGGAAAACACACCTAATGGCGGTAAAACAGGTTGGAGAAACCACTCCTCCCCTGTTGTTGATTGTTTCCTGAGCCATATATATTTTAGAAAAAAACGCAAAAGAAAGAAAAAAAAGAAAAAAAGAATACAGACTATCCATTTTGTTATGGTTCTTTATTTCACATTTCTTTCCATTTCTCAGAAAAAGAGTTGAAACCGGTTATAGCTTGTTGTGCGTTAAGACAGTGGTTTACCGACCTTTCTCTAATCTTTATTCTTTATCCATTGATGAAGTGATTGTGGTTATTTTTTTGTTATAGAGAATGGTTCTTGTGGAACTGGAAGTTATTCTTTGGCACAATCATGGGTTAGTTCAGTTACTGTGTGCAGAAGTAGTGATCTTGCTGCATCTGGAGCTGCAAATGGCACGGTTTGTTTATGGGCTATTGAAAGTGACAGTAGGAGCATCCAGCCTTTATTTACATATCCCCAGGTATTGTCTCCTACTCATGATTGAGTTTCCTCTAATTTGGTTATGCACTTTTTCATCCGGGTTTTAGGTACATGGTTGCCAAAATGCGTAGGCATTTCCTTGTGATATTTACAATTCCATATAATCAAACTCCATATGAAGAAAATGTTCTCTCTTTTCTCACAAGTTTCTGCTCTGTTAAACTAGAACCTTCTATAATAGTGCATGCTTTCTGTACTTCTTAATTGTTAAGGAGGATTATTTTCTTATTAGTTCAGTATAATGATCAACATATTTGAATTGAAATGCTGACACAAGGTATATTCCTTTCACTTAAATTTACTTTTGTCTGTTTGATGAATCACTCAGGTTGGATATATAAATTCACTTAAATTTGCGAAATCAGGACGCTTCCTTCTGGCTGGAGTTGGACAGGTCAGTTTTATTATTTACATGAGTTTTTTTAGTCATCATTCTGTCCATCATCTTCCTGTAATTCAGAATTTGTGTCTTATCTTGGGGTAAATTTCACAAACTATAATGAACTATTAGGTGTTTTGCACAAAACTACATAAACTATTTTATTAGGGAGCAATATCGCTTACAAATCTTCAAAAGGAGAACTCATATTACCATAAAGTTAATCTATGTCAGTGATGTTCAAAAGTTTAAAATACCTCTAGTATTTGAGAATGAGGAGAGGTTGAGGAGTAATTATATAAAGTACTTCAAAATATTTCACATGCATCACATGCCATCCTACATTGCCGTCTGTCGGTCATGACTCTCGAGTGAAATGAATATGTGGTTTTCTTCTTCTAATAAAAACAGTTTGTGATATTTTTATGTGAAATCCTCTAATGGTTTATGAAAGCTGTATGAAATTTTTTCTTTTCTGGTGGAATTTGCAAATTCATTTTCCTTCTGGAATGTGAAGGTCACCCTAGCACTACTGTATTATAGAATAAAAGATGTATCTCACTTCCCTCCACTACATTTACCTTTGAAGGGGATTGTCATATTTGACCGATAAATTTTCATGTGTATCTATAGTTGCAATTTGTTTCTGTTACTTTAATTTCAGGAACCTCGTTTGGGTAGATGGGGTCGGATATCAAATGCACGTAATGGTGTTGCAATCCTCCCCATCAGGTTAAAGGAAGAACGCAGTTCACGCTTTTTGAAAGACTAGAGATCTGTCATTTCAGTCAACTTAACATTTCAAGAAAATATGAAGAATGAATTCCTCGAGTTTTGGATGTAGGCGAGGAATTTCTCCCTTCTTGCACTCACTTCTCCATCTGGCACCTTCAAGGTCTACATTCTGTATGTCTTCTTTGTTAAAAAACATCCCATCTGCTGGGTCGGCATTTTCATTTATATTTAACTTGTAATTTTCAGGAAAATGCATCATTTTAGGATGTCAGTTTTGTTTTCGTACGTTGAGGGTTGTACACTATCTTCTCTAAATGAAGATTGAAGAGTAAGATTATTATCAATATATTCGTTTACATTTTGAGTGAAATTGGGCCCTTTTTATGAAAATTTATTTTAGTGGTTACTAATACTAACGGCTATAGAGACCTCAGACCTTTTAACTTTTCTTTTGATTCCTCTCGTGTACTCGGCTATTAAGTGGTACGCGCCTCCTTGATTGTAAATATATATTCTGTGGTTAGGTGCTAATTGAGATCATTTTGTATTCTCTCAACTTTCTTTCATGTTAGTAGAGCCTGAAGATAATGCAGGATATTGTCATTGATGACTAGAGTAGTGTATAAGCTTCGTACTTTTTAGACTCTAGTCACGTGAAAATCACGACGAAGAGTTTGAGAAAACTCTACCTCGTATCAAATACAAAATTTCAAATTTCTTTAAATTAAAGCGATAACTGTAGTAAAATATTTGCGGGTTGGAGTTTGCAAACATTTGGAATTTGGCTTTGTATAATATGATCTTCTAAATAGTAATCACTAATTAGTAAAAGGAACGGGGTGTTGATTTAAAAAAACAAACATGGAATTTCATATAGATAAATATTTATATGAATGAAGTATCATAACAGAACCGATCACTACATACTGAGGTTTGCTGGTTAGCAGTTTAATAACTATGTGATCAACAAGTAATGTAATAACTATGTGATCAACAAGTAATGTTATGAACAATTAAAATTGAAGAAATATAATAAGTTTATTCAGTACATGAGCTTAGAAGATCTCCATTCATAGATTAAGATGACTGCTATATTCATACAATAACTAGCTCTCATCTTTACGAAAGAGTTATTCTTAGCCTAAATATAGGCAAACACGATCTTCACCAGCAAAATCCAGGGGGAAAAAACCCACACCCACATGAATGCTCTTTTCTCCTTAGGCAAGTATACAGGCATATGCGTTCTGATGAAGTGAAAGGAGCGAATGTTGCATTCATCGAATGATACTGCTAATTGGACAACCTTCAGCTCTTGCCCTTGATACAACCTCCTCCTGCATAAAATATAGGAACTATTTTACTAGCTAGGTTTTTCTTTAGAATTGATCGATTAATGAAGCACGCTCTGAAGAAACCAGGTATCTCTCCACCAAAAAATGTCAGTGAATAAGGTTTTGCCATTCAACCTCTTAGCGTTCAGCAACCCTCCATCATTTAAGTATATATGACTAATCTTTACTTAAAGTCTACCTTTACAGGATTTGATCTACCGTTTTAAATGTATACGACTACATTACAGTTATACAATATTTTTCAATGTTTTTATCTACCTTTTATTATATGTAACTACCTTTCACTTATACTCTATTTTTCAATGTTTTTATCTGCCTTCTATTATACGTAACTACCTTTCACTCGTACTCTCAACCTTTCAATGATTATATTTATATAATTCAGTATATATGACTAATATTCACCTGTACTAGCCACCTTTTGAGTATACCTTTCACGTATGTTTTCTGCATTCAATAACTTCATATACCTTTAAATAGACACTTTAAAGAAAAAGGCAGACGGTTCAAATAAAAGTACATTTGTCAACTCAGAAATTCATGTGAGAGTTTTAGATAAAAAATAATAACAGCAGAAATTTACATACCTGTATTTGTGTGGTGATGAATCCAACACCCTGATAAGCACAAAATGAAGATGATTAAAACCATCAACTCAGATTTTCCTACAGCTTCTTAAGACAAGGGAAGAAAACAGATTTTTCCTACAGTTTCTAAAGACGAGAAGAACACACCTCAAATTTCTTCTCGAGCCACGATACATCCTTCCAAGTTTTTAGGTGCAACTTTTCACAGGAAGTCGGAACCTGGATCGACTCAACATGCTGCACAAGCCTCAAGCTACCTACAAGAATACTACACCAGATAAGAAAATAAAATGAAACACATTTGCAATGCAAAATCAGATAGTTATCTCCATAGTTCCAAATTGTTCTAAGCATCTTCCACATCTATCTTTATTATTGTATTTTTCTAGGGTAAATTTCACTAAACCCCAACAAGTTTGGGCCTTTAACACTGAATCCCCCCAAAAAATTTGGAACTCTCACTAGACCCCCAAAATAAAGCTCCTCCTACAGCTATAACTAATTCTCAAATCAAGACATTTCCTTCTATGCAACATGATGATATAATAAATCGAAACTTAATGATATTGGACAACCCACTGATCCATAAGTCTAAAGAAAATGAGTCTAGGTTTTCATCGCCCTGTGATAGCACAAGGTCAGATAATTGAATACATTTCGAGAAGGGAATTTGTTCTTTGGCCTCAAGCAAGGAGTTTACATGTAAAGGTTTAGGTTTAAAAAATAATTCATATGAAGTTTCCAACTAATGGTTCTTGAAAAATACAGATTGAGCCTCAGCTGTCGGTATATATTCATGTATAAAGAGCATTTCAATATTGAGAAGGCTTCACAAAAATTCACAAACCTCTAAACTACCAACCTATATCAAACCTTCAGAATGAGCAATTCTAAGGCCGAAATATATACTGCTTGAAGCCTACAAATGATTCATAGAATCATAGATGACATAAAACTTCCAATGCAAAACCAAAAGCAATCAGTGTAGAAAGAAAAGTTGTGCCAATGAAATTCTAATAACCTTACTTGTAATAAATGCCTCTCTAGAAGCCTACAAATGATTCATAGATGACATAAAACTTCCAATGCAAAACCGAAAGCAATCAGTGTAGAAAGAAAAGTTGTGCCAATGAAATTCTAATAACCTTACTTGTAATAAATGCCTCTTTCCAAAGATCACGATCAGCCCATGATGGCGCGACTTCCCGGAATGGGATCCCTAGACTGTTACATGCCCTGATTGGAAGGGACAAGCACCACAATAAGGTATTTCTATGTGTGCATATTGAATCAACAAAGGTGACAATGGAAGTTTAAAGGTAAAATTTTATTGACATAGCATGAACACTGCGCAATAGGTTGATTATTTGCGACGGAAAAGGTTTGGACTTGAAATACATACCTGGTATAATTTATCTTAGGAAATGTAAAAACCATATGTTTGTTTGGACTTAAAATTTGCCCTAAGAACCAGATGCTAGAAACAAAGTTAACATCATTTACGTTGTTTTCGCAACAGAGGGAATCCAAATAACATTCAGTTACAAACAATCACTTACAAAGATTATATTTCAATGCTAATCTCTAATTGTATGTACTTAAAGCAGTCAGTAAAAAGCAAATTTTCATCAGAAAATCACCACAGAAAACAACTTACTTGATCACTAGCTGTCGTATAACTCCTGGGAGTACTCCGTCACTCACAGGCGCAGTTTGCACTTCATATGAACACTCATCCTGCACAACTTTATCAACAAAAATGTCACAAAATCAGAAACAAAAATATCACGGAAATTGTATGGCTATATATCAAAGGCATCACCTTTCGGCGCACAACGAAGAAATTCGTAATGCTGCCCTCAAGAATCCGATCCCCGTCATCCGACAGCAATACCTCCGTCGCCGTCGGCGGCCTCATCATCTCCAACCCTTTCCTCTCCCTGAAAAACCAACCCAAACCCCATAAATCAAACCAACCAAATTTGCCAAAAAAAGGGACAAAAAAAATCAATTTAAAAAAAAAGCCCCAAAGCCTAGCCCAATTCGAATACTTGGCGTCCGCCGCCGCTCCCCGTCCGGGCCCGCCACAGCAAGGCGGGCGCCCAGGCGAGCCGTAACACTGGCGGAACAATAAACCCTATGTGTAGCCAGAAATCGAGTTCGCCGTCGCGGCCCCGCGACGAGGGCGGTGACCGCCAGCTCAGCGTGGGACCACTGCGCTCGGCCGTCGGCCAGAGCGCGAGGCCGATGGGCTCGACGCTGGAGAGAGGAGCTCCGACGCGGGCGGGCGGGGGGTCAGGAGGTCGCGCGGGTTGGGGGAGCCAGGATGTGAGGCGGATCCGAGGAGAGGGCTGGTGAGCGGACCCGGGGAGCGAGGAGGGAGGACGGACGGCGCGGATGGTGTCGCGTGCTAGAGCGAGAGCGAGACGGTGCGGCCGGCGGCGGTGCGGGTGTTGTGTAGGCGCCTGAGGGGCGGAGGAGGGAAGTGAAGTTAGTTAGGTTCGGCGGTACGAGCAGAGAGGGAGAGTGAGTTACCAGGGGGGTGCGATTGTAAGAGGGCGCGAGATTGGCAGGGGTTGACGGTTGAAGGGACGCGCGTTGAGGACCAGGAAGTGAGACGTCGCCATCGCCGGCGGAATATTCTCTCTTTTTTTTCCAGCTCTCGTCTGGATTTTTAAGAATGATAGCGGCCCACAAATGAGCCCAAATTAGGGAGGGGCTGCGTTTTGGATGTTGGGCCTTTGGTTTGATGGGCGGACGAATGTCGGCCCAAGTCAAGAAACGGTAGTGGGGTTGTAGAGGGGAAAGTGAGGGAAACCTTGTACATGTTCAGCAGTTGTCAATTGTATCCGGCATTTTTTTTTGGGTAGTGATTTTAGGTAATGATGACGTGGACTTGCAGGTATGGACCGTTAAGCTCAGCATAACTCCTAATCCATTGTTGTTATTCTATGTAGGCATGGCAACGGGGAACAGATTTGTACAGTTGTTATTCATCTTTCAATTATGTAATAGGAGAGGAACATCTCACATGTCCTCGTTGTTGATCCTATGTTTTGGGTCTCTGTAGCAAAGCTCTTTATGTAATAGGAGAGAGACACATCATATGATGGCTAACTTATTATGCAATAAGAGATGGACATTTTACATGTCCTTCCTTATTGATCTCATATTTTGGGTCCCTGTAACAAAACTCATTGCCTTTTCGTATTCTCTTTACACGTCGGACTTTTTAGGTCAGATTTGTTGTTTCTATAAGTCCCCCTGGATTCATGGATAACACTTATCATGAGCTATCGACTCTTTTTCTTTAATCTCGTGCATGGCATGCCCACTACGATGCAACGTGGAGCCAACTCCACAGCCTCAAAATAAACTATAAAAGATTAATCATGAGATGTGGAGCTCCTACAAGCCTTAACGAGGAAGTAATACTGAACCCAACACTTACATGCCCACAATGAATCCTTAACCCCTAAGAATATCTTCCGTACCTTCAATGTACAAATATATGAATGCCATCCATCAGTTGTATATATTAATATCCAGCCAATCAGAATACTTTGTTTGCATACCCAGCCACATTATATATAGAACAATTTTTCAAAACCGACTGATTTTTTTTTTTTTTCAAAACCGACTGTTTTTTTTTATTTATCAAAATCGACCCGGTTTTGTGATTAGCAGGCTAATCACTATCCTAAATAGTCGGGGTTGGCAACCCCGACTATTTAGGATAGTGATTAACCTGCTAATCACCCTTTAATTAGGGTTTAACACCCTCCTAAATAGTCGGGGTTGCCAACCCCGACTATTTAGGATAGTGATTAGCAGCCTAATAACAATGATTAGCAGGTTAATCACTATCCTAAATAGTCGGGGTTGCCAACCCCGACTATTTAGGATAGTGATTAGCAGCCTAATCACAAAACCGGGTCGATTTTGATAAATAAAAAAAAAATGATAGCGGCCCACAAATGAGCCCAAATTAGGGAGGGGCTGCGTTTTGGATGTTGGGCCTTTGGTTTGATGGGCGGACGAATGTCGGCCCAAGTCAAGAAACGGTAGTGGGGTTGTAGAGGGGAAAGTGAGGGAAACCTTGTACATGTTCAGCAGTTGTCAATTGTATCCGGCATTTTTTTTTGGGTAGTGATTTTAGGTAATGATGACGTGGACTTGCAGGTATGGACCGTTAAGCTCAGCATAACTCCTAATCCATTGTTGTTATTCTATGTAGGCATGGCAACGGGGAACAGATTTGTACAGTTGTTATTCATCTTTCAATTATGTAATAGGAGAGGAACATCTCACATGTCCTCGTTGTTGATCCTATGTTTTGGGTCTCTGTAGCAAAGCTCTTTATGTAATAGGAGAGAGACACATCATATGATGGCTAACTTATTATGCAATAAGAGATGGACATTTTACATGTCCTTCCTTATTGATCTCATATTTTGGGTCCCTGTAACAAAACTCATTGCCTTTTCGTATTCTCTTTACACGTCGGACTTTTTAGGTCAGATTTGTTGTTTCTATAAGTCCCCCTGGATTCATGGATAACACTTATCATGAGCTATCGACTCTTTTTCTTTAATCTCGTGCATGGCATGCCCACTACGATGCAACGTGGAGCCAACTCCACAGCCTCAAAATAAACTATAAAAGATTAATCATGAGATGTGGAGCTCCTACAAGCCTTAACGAGGAAGTAATACTGAACCCAACACTTACATGCCCACAATGAATCCTTAACCCCTAAGAATATCTTCCGTACCTTCAATGTACAAATATATGAATGCCATCCATCAGTTGTATATATTAATATCCAGCCAATCAGAATACTTTGTTTGCATACCCAGCCACATTATATATAGAACAATTTTTCAAAACCGACTGATTTTTTTTTTTTTTTCAAAACCGACTGTTTTTTTTTTTTTATCAAAATTGGACCCGGTTTTGTGATTAGCAGGCTAATCACTATCCTAAATAGTCGGGGTTGGCAACCCCGACTATTTAGGATAGTGATTAACCTGCTAATCACCCTTTAATTAGGGTTTAACACCCTCCTAAATAGTCGGGGTTGCCAACCCCGACTATTTAGGATAGTGATTAGCAGCCTAATAACAAAACCGGGTCGATTTTGATAAAAAAAAAAAAAAAACAGTCGGTTTTGAAATAAAAAAAAAATCAGTCCGTTTTGAAAAATTGTTCTTATATATATTATATAAAAGCAATCAGACTAATGAATTGAATCAGTGCGATCTTGATGTCTAAAACCTGTGCTAAATACTTGTTTTCCTCTAGGATTAATTTCACAGGAGAACTTTTATTTTTATTTAAAAAAAGAGAGAGAAATCCTGGCGATTCTCTTGCACGTTACTCTCGAGCAGCGGCTTTTGCATAAAAGTGAACGTCACAGAGAGTAGATACCCTTCACTTTTGTTGCGAGCAAAAGGTGATGGCTTTGGCTTTACATCTGGTTTCAATTCAGAGGTCCACTACCTGTACTTGTCATCATTTGCTGCCTCCATAATTAATTTAATTATATACATTGCCTTCGGTGATTAATGTTGGCCGAGGTTGTAAATATCGATCGATCATTCCCTTTCTTATCTTTTGGTGATAGGATATATATTGACCCGAGGACAAAGGTTTGCATCATAAAAATGGAGACTTTATTTACTCGTAAATTAATGCAGCTTAGTTTTGCATTTGGAGAAAGAAAGTGGACGATGAGAGGGGGAGAAAAATCCTACGTACATTAGGAAGGTATAATTTAAACTAGTTTAATCTGTGTTATGTATAGATTTGGTGATATTTAAACATGATGAACCATACTAATAGACCCCTCCCCCCCAGTGAATTCATGATAAGAACTAATTAGCACAGTAGTTCATAATATATGTTGGGACAAACCGGGGCCTAATAGAGCAGGATCACATCAATAGTAGAGCAAAAGTAAAGATAAAAAGTTGGTGATTATATAAGTATTATGTATAGGCCTGCATAAGTTAGATTGTGCATTATGAGAAACGAAAGTCGAAGTCAACAAACAAAAGCTAAATTATATTTACCAGCTAATTAAAAAACATAATTATCTAGCTCTATCAACCAAAATTTTATAGCAAGTGTTCATGAAATATTGGCTACACAAAAAAGTTGTTTATTCAGTTTTATACGTTTTGCGCCGGGTGAATATCTTTATTCTTCGTAAAAATATTCACTTTATTTAATCTCACTGGAGTTGTTCTTTCTTGATATCCACATTTTACATAGAAAAATACCTAATAAACAGTTTTTTAATGCTTTATTTTGTAGCTATGTGGCAAAATAATGTTTATATTCTTTCTTTCCTTTTTTTTCTTTTTGCTTTTTTGAAAAGGCATATGTATAGGGGGTGGACTCCACATATGACCAATATTTGTTTAATTCTGAAGGTATATATGATGTAAGTCTTACAGAAACCAAAATTGACCGCTACTATCTTTGATTTTGGTCTTGTCCGGCTGCTTGACCCGATATGCATATATTTACTAATATTAGTCTTTTCTTATTATTTTGAGTAAGCCTATAAATATAAATCAGTAGGTGTCCTATAAAGTTAAAAAAAGGGGTTTTAACCAATATATACCCCGTATTTTACAAATTATACTAAATCTACATGTTTGCTTCTTTATCCTCAAATTCTGCAATTCTCCACATTTGAATCTACAAAACCTTTCGCCGACGAGGGGAAAATATACATTGAAACGACTAATAGAAAAAGTACGAATATTCTGGAAATATTTTTTTTACCTGAACTCTTTTTTTTTTGTGTGTGTATACTTGTGTTGATTTTAATTCAACTATTAGATTGTAAATTCACAGATATTTAAATGGGAGGATAAACTAATAGTAGTCAACTGACAAGGGATTTTCAAGTCTGACTACTTGACCAAACATGCGTCTTATAAAATGAAATAAAGAGAGTTCTGCAACAATGCGAGTCATAAAAAACCAAAATAAACTACAAATTGTTTACCCTTAACAACTTGATACTAAATCTGATCAGTACCTTTTGTGTCATTCTCTATTCTTCAGTGTTTTTTTTTATTTGTTATTTTTTGCTTTTTTAAGGAAGTCCTCAAGTGTGGTACTACTAGAAGTTCTTCTATTAATTACTAATAATAATCACATGGTCCTTCAGAATAAAATATCAATTTATTTATAGAGTAATGATATGAATGCACATTTTCAAGTCTGGCTACTTGATCAAAATAGAGTAAGAATCATTGATAATGAAAATATTTAAGTTCTGTTGCTCGAATCTCATCGGAGTATAATTATATACGAGTCATGACAATCCCTGAGTTTCTTGCATATACCCGTTATTTTATAAAAGCTCTAAGGGCCCGTTTGGTTACCCGTTTTTGAGGGGAAAAGTGACTGAAAGCTGTCACAGATAGAACATATACGACAGTTTTCCCCTTCAAAATAAACCCACCAGACGGGCCGTAATTTCACCCAAAATCCCCCCTCCATCGTCAGTCATCACAAACGCACGGCAAACGTGACCCCCCCAGCACGCGGTAACCCCACCGCGACTCTCGAACGCAAACGGCAGCAGTCAACAAAGGGAATCTGACGCGATACGGTCACCGCCCACCAACCAAGTAATGGGGCCCACCCCCCAAAGCAAAGCTCCGCCCCATTTCCACGACCCTCCTCCTCCTTTCCACATTGTGATTACTCCGCTCTATCTTTTTTCCAGAAAAGACCTCCACAAAAATATCTCTTTGCACTTTGAGGACTCGTAATTAACCCAACTTTCCCTTCTCACTCTCTTTCGCCTCTCACTTGGGAGATGGGTTCAATGGCGATCTTTGGGTGGTTTCTTCTCTTGGGTTTCTCCCTCTTTTCCCTCTCTACCGCTCAAATGCCTGGTGTGTTTTGCTTCCCTTTTGATTTTGTCCTTACTGTAAATTTTGTCAAGGCACTAGAAGCTTGCGGTAGTTTGTTTCTGGAACCTTTTTCTTTTGCTTGAAATTTAAGCATTTATTTGTTCCAGTTAAGTTTTGTGAGCGTTTAGTGCATCAGAGGAGGACTCAACAAAACCCAAATGAAAGAAAATGTCAGAATCAAAGGGAATAGTTGGTGTTTACGAAATCGGGTCTTTTTTTTAATAACTTGGTTCATTTGTAGGCTAAGAAAATAAGTGAAAGAACTGTTTTTTTTCCTTTTAAATGTGGGACAAAAGTTTGAAATTCCAATTTATGTCTTCCATATTACTAGAAGAGAGAGTTTTTTCCTTTTATTTATTACCTTGCCATTTGTAAGTTTCCTAAGTGGAAGAGAAAAAAAAGAAATTAGGGTCGAATTTCAGAACATCTACTACAATATCACTGTTTAAAGATGAGAGCAAAAAAATAAAAAACCACCCTTAACTTAGGTTGAAACGAATTTTGTTCAATATTATTGCGATATTTTGGTTTTCCAATGTCAATACTAGAATGCTAATATTGGCATAAATTTTGATCTTGATATGTGCACTTCAAAATTCGCTAACAAGATATGTCAAAGTTGGTTTGCACAAAAGCATATTCATACAGATTCTTTATTATTTATGTGCCACTAGTTTTCCTTCATACATCTCTTACTGGCATATTGATTTTGTGTAGGTTTTGTAAGTATAGACTGTGGAGGTTCAACGAATTACACAGATGATCTCGGACTCGAGTGGGTTCCAGACAGTCAAATAATTTTCGGAAAAACTGCTACCGTATCTTCTACAAATGAAAGACATAAGCAATACATGACAGTTCTTGCTATACATTAAATGTGAAAACTAGAACGCGGTATCTTATAAGAACAAGCTTCTTGTATGGGAACTTTGATAATAATGAGGTTTTTCCAAGTTTCGATATCTCTCTTGGTGCAACTCCTTGGTCGACAATAACCATCTCTGATGAAGATACTATAGAAGTTGAGGAACTGGTTTTTCTAGCTTCGTCTCCTTCTGTTAGTGTATGTTTATCTAATGCTACCACGGGGCAGCCATTTATTTCTGCACTTGAGCTTCGACAGTTTAATGGCTCACTTTATCATACAACATTTGAGACTCAATTCTTTCTAAGCTTATCTGCAAGAATAAACTTCGGTGCAGAAAGCAATGATTCAGTCAGGTAACTCTGAACTTGATATGTTGGAAGTGTTTCAGTTTTGTTATATATTGTGAAATATACTCGTGCATGTACATTATTCAGTTATATGATAAGTGCAGTACTTTCATATTGCCTTGCAAAATTTGCCCACATTACACTAGACTAGTAAATGGAGGACACTGTTGAACAAATCATCTTTTTGATGTGGTGTGATATTCACACACTGCTTGGAAATTAAACAAGGGCTGTGCAATTTTTGTTCTACTACTATCTTCAACCTTTTGTAATTCTCCCTTTGAAGTTTCTTAGGTCTTATATGATTGCCACGAGGGTTTGAAGGGAAAGGAGATGAATAAGTATTCAACAAACACGATAGATGAAAGAACATAAATAACAAGAAAGGAAGTAGTCCTTTTGATGCTAGGTTTTATGACATATAATCTAGAGAAATTGGAGAATGGCAAAAGTAATATGTGCAGATTTAGATTAGGGCTTTTTAAATTTTAATAGATGTAATTTGAATGAAAGATGCATGAAAAAGAGTGATCCAATAGTATGAGGTCTAGCATTCAGAAGAAGAGTTCCAGACCAATGTGATAGCATAAGTTACCTGGCGCTAAATTTTGGGCTGTTGGAGCCCACCTTGACTACTTAATATTGTCTCGTATTTGCGCAAGAAGGGAGAAGTGATGACTATAATATATTTGGTATTTAGAATCCATAAGCTAGAAATCTTATGATTAAAGTTTTTTTTCTGAACGCATGTAAACTTACATCATTAGAGAGGTTGACTACAAGGGGGAAAACTTTCATGAGGAGAAATAGTGTCATAGCACTCTTCTTTGGACTTTTTAAGCACATGGATCACAATGAGAGTGCTCTGACTGCTATCAGTCTCTGTGCATTGTGAACCTGAGTTAAGTATAAGATTGCAATAGTGTTCCCTGAATTTTAATTTGAAAATTCACTTACTTATACAGTCAAGTAAATTCACACCCAATGAAACCATAGCCCCCAACAAGGGAGGAAACATCACAACTACAACGCAATTGTGACCGAAAACCTTCTTCTACTTAACAATTACGTTAAGAGGGAGGAAACATGTACCATTGTGTCATGAGATTCCTTGTGGCTTTAGGCTGCCCCAACTACTTTTATTTATTTATTTAAAACATGTGCTTACATCAAGAAATTTTTTTACTCCAAAATGTACTGTAAGCAGTAAGTGATTTTTTCTTAAATCCCATCTTTGATCAGATATGACCCCTAACTTTTGAATTAAAATATTCTATTAAATATTTCAGATATCCCGATGATCCATTCGATAGAATATGGGAATCCGATTCTGTAAGGAGGGCAAATTACCTTGTTGATGTAGCCCCCGGAACTGAAAAAATATCAACTACAAAGCCAATAGACATTGGCAATGGCGATTTACCCCCTCAAAAGGTAATGCAAACAGCAGTAGTGGGAAGAAATGGATCATTAACTTATCGCTTAGATTTGGACGGCTTTCCCGGAAATGGCTGGGCATTCTCATACTTTGCTGAGATCGAGGATTTCGATGAAGATCAAAGCAGAAAATTTAGGCTTTTTATTCCAGGCATGCCAGCAATCAGCAAGGCCACTGTTAATGTTCAAGAGAATGCTCAAGGGAAATATCGGTTGTATGAGCCTGGGTATCCCAATATTACCCTTCCATTTGTCTTTTCTTTTGAGTTCAAGAAGACAAATGATTCGTCGTTGGGTCCTATACTGAATGCTCTGGAGATATACAATTATCTACAAATAAATTATGGTTCTGTAGATGGTAGGTGGAGTTTGATCATCACCGTTAGGGTTGATTGTGGATAGATCACTGTGCTATCGCCAAATTGAACTTGATTCCCTTGTAGTTCAATTGTTACAGGAACGCCCCCTCAAAGAGTTCTATTGTTGCAGTAGACCTCCTGATTGATAATCTTTCGTTGCAGGGTAGACCCCCTTAAAAGGGTTAAAAAAAAAGAATTCACTCAAGGGGTCTCTATGCAAACAATAGAACTATGGAGGTAGTGAGTTCCATTTGGTGATTAAGTACAAGGAATATCTCTGCAAGTAACCCTAATTTTTAGGAGGGCATGTGTGTGAAGTGTCTGATATATTTTTATACTGGAGTTGCAGCTGCTATTATGGCTGGTTTTGCTTCCAACTATCCACAAGCAGATTGGGCACAGGAAGGGGGTGATCCTTGTTTACCGGCTTCTTGGTCTTGGGTACAATGTAATTCTGATCCACAACCAAGAGTAATTTCAATGTACGAAAAAATTGAACGGTGCCTTCCGTTAATGGTTTATTTGGTTTATCCTTTTGCCAATTTGTCCTGGAAATTTATGTCTATTGTTTTATATGCACTAACATCCATTTTATTTAGGCAGTAGTTTGTCTGGGAAAAATCTGACAGGGGATATTCCTTTGGAGCTCACAAAGTTAACAAGCTTGGTTGATCTGTAAGATTCACAAAATTCTCTCGTTTTCTGTATTTCACATTCATCGTTGTGCATTTCATAGATGCATAAATTCCCTTTTATCATGATAAATCACAAATCCTAATTGCAGACGATTGGATGGAAACTCGCTTACTGGTACTATACCTGATTTTAGTGGATGCACAAATTTACAATATATGTAAGATTTTGACATTCATAGTTTCTAAATTAATAAAACTTTTAAACTCCTGGAGTAACATTTTGTTCTTTATTCTAGTCATCTGGAGAACAATGAATTGACTGGTGTACTGCCTGCATCACTAGCAGATCTGCCTAGTCTAAAAGAACTGTAAGTGTCACACCTGGGATGTCATTAATTGCTACAAATTGTAAAGTAAAAATTCCAGTTGCCTTTAACAATTTCCTTCATTTGCTTCTTTTAAGAAAAATCCTTGGTTGATTTCTGTCTTTCACATCTGAAAAAGGCTTTTTATGTTGTTTCTCCCCTCCTGGTTTTACTTAAAGCTCAATTAATGTCTTCTTATTCGAATTCTTTGGTATTCTACATTTCAATCGCTTAGTGTTATATGTAGAATGTTGAGTTATCGTGTGAATTCTAATGATTGCAGGTATGTGCAGAATAATAAGTTGTCAGGAGTAATACCACAAGGGCTTCTAGCTAAAAATGTTATTTTTAAGTAAGTATCAGTCTCTCTTTCATGTGCAAACTCTAGTATTTATTTGATGAATTACTGGTATAAGAATCTGTTGCATCACCTCTGCCCATCATAACCAGTAGATCAATTTTTTACCATCATGTATGATCCATTTTCTCTTGCCTTGAAACATTCTCACTAAGTGACACTGGTCAAAAGCAGTTGTGTTGGCTATGTCTCGTTCTAACCCCGAACAATCCTAGAAAACATTAAGTAAACCAACTCAGGATATATGAAAAATAGCAAAACAACATTATTAAAATTTAAAGATGGCTGCAAAAAATCATAATGGTTTTTATGTAGAGAAGCTAACAAGAGCCGTGAAAGTAAGAAAAAGCTTATAAGAGAAAAATGATCTTTTTTATCAAACCGGATAAGGAAATTTGTGATGCCAAAAATAGATAAAATGATTTCATAGAACAAGGTTGCTAGAGGTCTTACCCATCTTTTTGATGTACGCATATTCAGTTGACCTCGTGTCGAAACAAACAAAAATGAACAAACATCATGCGTCATTACCGCCATAAAAATCATGAATTTTGAAGTATGCATACTTAATTGTCATTGAGTCAAAATATGTAAAATAGACAACATTCGATAAAACATGAAAATCATGAATTTCTAATGCGCGTGCTTAGTTGCCACTGCGCGAAAAGGGGAAATTTTGATAGCCTACTAAAATCATGAATTTTGAAGTACGTGTACTTAATTTCCATTGGGCAAAAGTGACAAAATTGATAAAAAATCATATGTCATCTAGCCCATTTGAAGTATTGCACTTAATTATCATTGGACCGAAACATGCAAAATGAACAACAGTCACAACATGCAAAATGAACAACAGTCACAAGTTAGCTAGTGAAAATCATAAATTTTGAAGTATTGCTCTCTTAATTGCCTTCCAAATAGACAAAAATCATTGGTTATAGCCAATGAAAATCAACAATTTTCAGATATGCGTGCTTAATTTCCACTGGCCCTAATTGCACAAAAATGGACAAATATAGGATTTTAGACAATGAAAATCGAGAAATTTAAAGTAGTACTTATTTGTTATTAGGTCAAGTGGAAAAAAATAATTAAAAAAATCGTTGGTTATGAAAATTAGGAATTTTAAAGTATGCACTTTTAATTGTTACTGGGTCAAAACGGGAAAAAATCTTAGTTTATAGTCTATGAAAATCACTAAATTTAAAGTACGCATATTTAATTCGAACTGGGCCAAAAGGGACGAAAATTGATAAATTTTATTTGTAGGTTATAGTCAATAAAAAATATTGAAATGTGTGAATTTTGAACTACATGTATTTAATTCCCACTAGGCTGAAACAAACAACAATAGACAAAATTCATGAGTTATCACCCATGATAATCACAAATTTTGAAGTATACATAAAAGCCATTGATCGAAACAGAATGACAAAAGGTAGGTTATAGTCTTTAAAAATTGTGAATTTTGAATTAACTACGATTATCCTGAATAGACAATAATGAATAAAAATAATGTATTATGGCCCCATGAAAATCGTGAATTTTGAAATACACGTACTTAATTTTTCATTGGGCCAAATAGGAAAAAGTTAAAAAACATTGTTTTGGAAGTACGCATACATGAATACCATTAGACCGAAATAGACAAAAGTGAACAAATATTCTGGGTATTAATAGTCCATGAAGATCATGAATTTTGAGATATGTGTGCTTAATTCTCAGTCGACGGAAACAAACAAAATCCTTGGTAGCCTGTGAAAATTGAGAATTTTAAAGTACGCAATTAATTCCCTGGTATCGAAACTGAAATAAATGGACAAAGTCACAAAGATCATGGGCTATATAACCTATGAAAACTGCGAATTTTCAAGTGTATGCATACTTAATTGACATTAGTCGAAATATACAAAAATGGACAAAAATAATAGATTATAGCCAACGAAAATCGCGCTCAACTAAACACATTTAATTGTATTGGGCCAAAATGTACAGAGGTTATAAGTAATAACCCATGAAAATTGTGAATTTTGGAGTGCACATACTTAATTGTCTTCAGACTGAAACAGACAAAAATAGTAGGTTATATGAAATTGCTAATATTGAATTACACGTACTTAATTATCATTGGGTTATCACAGACGAAAATAGAAAAACAATCATGGGTTATAGCTTATGAAAATCGAGGAATTTTCAAGCACACATACTTGTTTTGGTTTGGTTGTTTGGTTATCCCATGCTTCTTGCTAATTATTAGATACGTTAGTATCTTGCTCCATCGCATAAGCTATTTTTACTTTAAGTGATTCTTAAACATGGCCCGAACAAACCTATTTTCTTCAAATTTCATGTCGGAAGGTAGTTTAACATGGAAGAGAATATAAGTGTACTTTTGTTCAAATCACATAAATTTTATTTTCAATGGTTCAACTTTCAAGTAGAGTGCATCTTTATTTCTTTTAAGCATCAACCAGTATACTGAGAGGAGTCTGTGCGTATGCACACATGCATATCTTTAGATTTCTGCCTTGTTAATGCTTTTGGGATCTAATCGAGTGTTCTCTATGCATTTGCTTAGCTACTCAGGAAATGTGGGTCTTTATAAGGGAACGCATAGAATGAGCCACTCCACAGTAGTTATTATAAGTTCTGTTGTTGGAGTTCTTGTGTTACTTCTTGGTCTTATGGCATATTGCCTTCTTGCCCGCAAGAAAAAGAAGAATAACCTGGAAAAAGGTATGGATAAAGGATTTTTCAGATTTATTTTATACTAGGTCAGCAACATTATAACTCAAACTTGGGTCCCTTCGACAGGAGATGTTATCAGCGTTCCACCAGCTCAAAAGTTGAGTTCTTTCTTCAGTGAAGTTGCAACAGAAACAGCACATAGATTCTCCTTATCTGAAATTGAAGATGCCACTGGAAAATTTGAAAAGAGAATTGGATCCGGAGGTTTTGGTATAGTATATTATGGAAAGCTCAAGGATGGAAAAGAAATTGCTGTTAAAGTTCTCACCAACGATTCCTTCCAGGGCATACGAGAATTCTTGAATGAGGTAGGTCGTTTATACAAATTAATAAATGTTTATTTGGAATTATTAAGGGGGGAATATATAACTACCATGAAATTGGGGGTGTTTTGCACAAAATGACTTCAAACTTTATAAATCAGAGAACCCCGATCTCACCCATGAACTTTTCTCACTTAAGTACTATGACTGTCAGCAAATAATTTAAGTTGTCACATGCTTTGCATATGACATGTTTTGGACAAGTTTGACCTTATGCACTTTAAATTTTATTGAAAGAAAGTTGGTCTGGGCTAGAGTAGTTATATATGAGAACTTCCAATAGTTTAAGAGGGTTTTGTATAATTTTGTAAGCTCAAGGGGGGTTTTTCTCTGATTTATTTTATTGAGGGGAATTTTGTGAAACTTACCTATTGTTAAAGGTACAGTACCAACACAACATATTGCTTTTTTTTTTTCTCTTTTTGTTCAGGTAACTCTACTCTCTAGAATACATCACAGGAATCTGGTGACCTTTCTTGGTTACAGCCAGCAAGAGGGGAAGAACATCCTCGTTTATGAGTTCATGCATAATGGAACTTTGAAAGAACATCTTAGAGGCAAGTCTCATCTCGATATCTATGAAAATAAGTCCTCTCATTAATCAAGTAATTTATTTATTACTATTTTTCACAGGGGCGGCAGCGAAAGAAAGAACTCTTACCTGGATCAAACGTCTTAAGATTGCCGAGGATTCTGCAAAAGGTTACATTTTTATGAGCTTCTATTTGATTTGGGGGGGGGGAAATCGCTCATTATGTTACGACACTGAGTCTTTTATGTTTCGACACTGAGTCTTTTATGTTTCCGAAATGTATCAGGGATAGAGTACCTTCATACTGGATGCTTTCCGACTATTATCCATAGGGATCTTAAGAGCAGCAACATTCTTCTTGACAATCATATGAGAGCTAAAGTTGCGGACTTTGGACTTTCGAAGCCTCAAGTGGATGGATCTCATGTCTCAAGCATTGTTCGAGGAACTGTCGGATATCTTGACCCTGAGTAAGCTCTAGTATTTTGGCTTTGATAAAAGACAACTAGTGATTGTGCAAACAATTATACGAATAGTTTCAGAGGTCATAAATATTAGTTAAGACCTTTTTTATCTATTTTGTTCTTTTAAAACTAAGCAAAGTTTACATGTAGCGATGGATCAAATCAAACAAACACTCAAAACTAGTCATCTCATGCATTGTTTTCATGTACAGGTATTACATCTCACAGCAATTAACAGAAAAGAGTGATATCTATAGTTTTGGCGTTATTCTTCTGGAGCTGATTACAGGGCACGAGCCGATATCAAATGAAAACTTTGGTGCCAATTGCCGCAACATTGTAGCTTGGGTATGTACAGTTTATTTCAACTTCTATTAAAGTTTTAGGAAAATTCCAGAAACCCAGTGGACTTTGGGTTATTTTGCACAAAAACTCCCTAAACATTATAAGTAGTAGTGAACACAAAAATACTTTGGATAACGACGGTTTTAGTTATATCGTGCTTCACATCCAACATGTTCAGGAAAAGTTTGCTCCTATGTACTTTGATTTTACTGAGAGTTTTTTCCGTTTAGGGTTGATAGATATTAACGAGGACAGTTTAGACCTGAGGGTTTTTCGTAAGTTACCCATAATTTTATGGGAAAATTACAGGAAATTTCCCTAAGGTTTGTAGACGTGATGCGAAATTATCCTAGAGTTCTCAAACTAACACCTTTACCCCTCCTTCCAATTTTTCCTTCAAACAAAGTCACGTGGTAAAACGTGACATGTTTAAAGACGAAGTGCCCCTAACTGTTTGAGGGGAAATTGAAAAAGAGGGGGTGAAAATGTTTGTTTTAGAACTTCAAGGGGGGGAGTTTCTGTTACTTCTGCAATTTGAAAAGTAAAATCAATCAAACGCCATTGCGTTCATGCTTGTAAGCAATCTCAAAGTAAAATCAATCAAACACCATTGCAGGCAAAATCACATATCGACAGTGGGAACGTCCAAGCCATGGTTGATCCGTTACTAGAAGATGACTACGACATGCAATCCATATGGAAAATTGCTGAGGCAGCGATCGCATGTGTCAAGCCACACGGTGTAGAGAGGCCATCAATATCAGAAGTCCTGAAGGAGATTCAAGAAGCTATTGCAATTGAACACGAGTCTGGGTGTGGTGGAGCAGGCGCCATCACCTCAAAGTATTCGATGGGTTCGTCTGTGAATTTGGATCCTGTGGATTTGGCTACTCCTGATCGGCATGTCTCTTCAACGGGCGTCTTCGGATCTCAACCAGGTCTCAGATGATTTTTCAATTTGGACCGCGATGCAAATTGAATTAGTTAGGCACTCTTAAGAGTATATCTTTATTTCCTTTTGCCCTCTACTCCTTTTTGTGTTTTTTGTTCCTTCCAACAGCGAGAGGGGTCACGTAGATGACAATTGAAGCAGCAACCACTAAATGGTATAGGAAACTGTTTTTATTCATTGTCGACAGGGTTCACGTTTGATGTTTTTTGCTGTTTTTTAAGGGTTTTGTTTGTAGTTCCTTTTTTGTTATCTTCATTTAAGTTGATGAAAGTGTGATAGCTTGCAAAATTGTCCCTTTGTATGTTATCTTAATGGCTCATAAGGCCCTGTGTGGTGCGGAGCGTTCTGATAAGATTCGCACTCACGAACTTACGTATCTGGTGGTGTTGTGACTAAATGCATGTTTGAATATTTACAATTTTAACTTTGGAAAGTCTAGAAATATTGTGAGAGCTTCCATTCAACCTTTGAATCTTTCCCATCTGCTGCATGTACCCGAATTCCATGCACCGCAATTTGTTCAGAAAAATCACTCCCATTTTACATCTTAAAAAAAAAATCTCTATTGTACCAAAGTATCACATTCTAAGATACCTGAAAAAGAAATTTCTGTCATTAAGCACTTATAAATACACATAGTGAGGGTGAGAACGTCTGGTTCAATATTTCACCTATTATCTCAAGCACAAAACAAAAGGGAATTTTTTTTGAAAAAGACCGATTTTGCTAAATAATTAGCAAAATGGACAATTTTGCTAATTATTTAGCAAAATAGACTTTTTTTTGGTCAACAAGTCAAAAATAGGTCGATTTTAAAAAATAGGCTGCTGAAAGTCATGTTTGAATTTTTTTTTTCAAAAACAAAGCCTTAACCGCGCGTCGACAAATTACATTTCTAAAGGATAAAACCGGGGTCTCCAATCTCAGGTCGTGTTGATTAAGTTAAATAGCGCAGGGGCTGCTAGTTTTCCCGAGGCAGAAACATCTCTCCCGTGCTTTTGCCATTCTTGTGCAGCATAATCTCGCTGAGAATGTATTGAAAGTTACTTTTTATAGGTATATATGGGACTCTTCGAGCAATTACCGACTACTGAGATTCTTATATATCTTGATTGTTTCGTCATATTTATCACATCGTCAGCACTTTGGTATTGTCTAGCTGCGCATAAATAGATCTCAGTATCTGCTTACTTCTATCTGTGAGCATATTAATTAGTTTGTTCACATATATTCTTAATAACCTCTATCCTGTGACAGAATTCATGAATATGCTTTCTTTTCCTCATTCTTATCGTCATGCATGCATGCCCATTGAATCCCCATATATTTGACATGAAAATGTTCCCTAGAAAAATAAATTAAGACATCTGAATAATTACTTAGCTTGAAGAAAAATAAATTAATAGGAAAACTGAAAAAATTTATAAGTCATAAATACCAAAAGATACCAAAAAAGGAATCCAAAATTAATAAAAGAAAAAAAATCTAGGTACTGTACAAAAAGATCACTTCAGAATTAGTTCTCTACAAGAGGAGAACGTTAAGCAAGCCATACTTGAAAGATTATCACATGACAAGCAAGCAATCAGATGTTGTTAGGATTTGGAAATGCCCACGGGATTAGGCTAGTCTATTTGAACCCAATTGACTAAAAAAAAATAATCTTATTAGGTCACGAGTCCAAACATATTAACTATCTATCCATCTTACCATCTATCTGATGTCGGACAAAAGCGCGCTCCATGCCCTTTTCAAAACCGAACTCCGTACACAACCGCATGGATGGGTGACAACTTCCTTACGGATGGTTCAGATCATAATTTGGTAACACTTTCTTCGCGTCTTAACAATAAACCTAGCTCAGTCAAGATATTTTCTTTAAAAAAAAGTTTACATAAATTGCAACAACTCTTGATTTAAATTCAGCGAAGAACACAGAAGTTCAGTGGAGGAAGCAGAAAATTGAGAGATAAACAGGTGTCAGCTCAGTAGTTCATAAACTCTTACCCATAAACTCCATACTTTTATAAAAGTGAAAGGGTAGTACATATGATATTTTACATAGTGATATCAAGATTTATACAATACGTAGAGTTACGAACTATCCTAAGTAAACATAAGACCTGAAACTGACCCATGACAGAAAAAAAGAGTAGAGTTCATCTCTGCAGGTTATGAAAAACTAAGAGGCCGGCCTCATTCTTTAAGGCGCTAGAACTGCTTTAAGGCTCTTGACGCTGAGGACTGGGCTGAAGAATTAGAAGCCCACTTTCTATTACCCAAAATTTCTTCTTCCTTCTCTTGTCCTTTTTGGCTACCACCAAGGATAGTAGAGAAGACTTCACTCAGGATCTTGGCTTTGATTTGGCCTCTTTTGGGCAGAGGATTTCCACTTGGTTTTTTCTCAAATCTGCAGAATTGGTAAGCTGTAGCCATTTTTTTTTTCCTTCAAAAAAATAGAAAAACTGACGCCGCTTTGAATTTAAGCAGAGAGCTGTGAGAAGATAGTAGAAGAGGAGTGAGCTGTGCTTGAGAGTGTGAGGGCATAGATAATAACATTTTATAGGACAAAGTGGGGCCCTTTCTTGTATCTTTTATTAATTTTTAATTACTAAAACCATAATCATGGGAACAACAAAAAGAAAAAAAGAACAATATCAAGTGTTATTGAGTTATGGGATTATAATTTTTTTGAGTGCCATGTGTTGCTACTTTATTCCATGGACTCCACCACCTTTGGGATGAAGGTAAAGATTTTGATTAGATATGTTGCTACATTATTCCATTCTAAATGCTAGAGAGATGTTTCAGAGTTTATAACTTAATTGTTTCACATGAAGTTTCTAACGTCTACCTTTTCAATCTGAAGATGGTTTTGGAGTTAAAAAGAAATAGAGAATATTGGACACAAGTTTTATTAACATTATCTTTATAAGAGCGATATGGTTTAAATCATAGATAGAATATTAAAATTTTCTAAACTAACCTTCTATTTTCTCGTGAATGACACAAATCACCTTGCTACATGCGGATATTCTGATAAAATTTATACTCGATTACATATGACTGAGAACTTTCTAGTAAACTAGCTCAACATGTAATATACAGATTCTACATTTAGATGAACTACTAGAATGTGCCTATTTATTTGTCAGTTTCTATAAGTGTTGATGACTGAGATTGGCTAGTTAAGGAATATTATTTTTCTTCAAAATTTTAGGTATTAATCTCCTAATATTATTTATGTTGTCCCATGCATATTGCTGGATTATTGAAATTCTCCTTTAATCTTGATGTATATAGAAAGCAAGCCAACAAAATACACTTAACAGAGGCAAAAAAAAGTGCTCCACCACACGAGCAGTAAACCCTATAGACAAATTGCGTGTGAACTGGTATACATTCAAAACTAATTTCGTATTTATTTAAAACTATTTTGTTTTTTAGTTTGATGATGTACTCATTTTTATTTTTAATATTTGAATAAGTGTATGATGTGACAAAAATGCTCCATGAAACCCGAAAGAAAGCTAATGAAACACTAGCTAGATACTGGGGATCAAGATAAATATGTAAGTAGAATATATATATTTAACTTTGATAATGATGCATTATATAATACTAACATATGAATTTAATTTTTATAGGATAAAATCGTTCAAGTCAAACAAGCAAACCCTTCACTTTCACATTGAGATAATTGAGAAAATTTAGGAGAAGCGACTCATGGTCACATCACTGTATTTGGTGGCGGGACTACTTTAAAAGATTTGAGAGGACCGCTCCCTAGTCGATCTGATCTGGAAGCCACATGTTATAGAAAAAAAGAGAAAGAACCAAATGCTTCAACAACGCTTAGATGAGCAGGAGCAACAACAACATCAACAACAACAAAGGACCTTTGACTTAGAGTCACAAGTGAAAGCTATGCATGAATTTTTTTAGGCAACAATCTTCATTGACTCCTCAAACTCGAGAACATGTGCAGGATTAGGTAATTATTTTTTTTATAAAATCTCTTATATACTGTTATGATTGGCTACTTGCACTAGAGAAAATACGATTTTTATTTAATAAGATAATATTTGCTTAATTGATATTTCTTAGTTATGTGATTTTTTTAATTTTTCAGGCTATCCATGCAAGATTAGAAGAGGGGGTAGCTCGAGTCATCTTTTGAAAATGATTAGAGATGAAAGGATGTGTCTTTCACAGACTTTTATTTTAATTTGTTTTAGATAGTTTCATGTATTTTTTTTTGGAACAATTGGGATATTAACTCTTGTATTAGTATTGAATATTTGAGGATGGTGGAATTTTATTTATTAATGTTATTAATGAATGAAGTTTTTTTCTTTTTTATTCATCATTGGGTATTTTTAATATATTTGTGTTGTGAATCTCAGTGTCATGTTGATAATAATATGAAGGTTTTCTATGATAATTGCCTATGAATAAAAAAATTATCAATAATATATATTAGAAATTACCGATAATATATATTAGAAATTTATAGTCTACAATATATGACTGTTTTATAAACCATATTTTATACATCAACAAAGGGAAAGCACCATCGTTGATGAGTTACTAATTATCCATCATGAGAACTTTTACGACGGTATCCAACCATCATTAATAGGTCTTCAATGATGGGGTTGTCACCCGTTGTTACACAATAACAACGGGCGTATAAAACCATCATTACACAACAACAACAGGAATGAGAAATCGTCATTTAAGTAATGACGGGAAAATATTCCCGTAACTAATAGTAACGATGGGAAAATATCCTCGTCACTGATGGTAACAACGGAAAAATATCCCAATCACTGATGGTAACAACGAGAAAATATCCCTGTCACTAATGTTAATGATGGGGAAAAAATCCCCGTCACTGATGATAACGATGGTGATAATTACCGTCGCATATATGAATGACGATAATATATTTCGTCGTTATAGACTCTATATTGACGGGTATTATAACCTTCGTGACCCTTTAGCGAAGAAGGCTTCAACGACGGGTGACGAAGGGATTTTTTTTCTGTCGTTAGCATACAATAACGAAGGTTTTTAGCTCTTTAACGAAAGAAAATCCCTTCGTTAAAGACGTAATTTCTTATAGTGTAAACAAGGAGAAGAAATAAAGGAAATAAAAAAAATAAAATCAAGAAGAGAAAAAATTAACCAAAAAGAGGAACAAGCAAAACACGTAAAAAAATTAGAGAAAATCAAGAAG